GGTGGCACTGGATGGTCTTCAAGGTCCCTTCCAACCCAAACCATTCTGTGTTTGTACAATAGCAGCACCTCAAAATGAGCTCCTGTGTCCCCCAGTTCAGGTACACCCCACGCAACCAAACCTCTCTGGGGCTGCCTGGCTTCCTGCTGCCTGAGAACTCCCAGGAGAAGTCAACCCGAGAGCGCGTGGTTGGGCAAGTCTAAACGCAGAGCTAGGTCATCTGCTGGCCTGGGCTAATGTAGTATGGAGTGCGGGAGACTTAGTGGAAATATGATAAGGAAATGAAGTGTTTTGGGTAGAAAGGGTCTCTGCCAATATATGTACTATTCTCCAGTTAAGTTTTGTAACTGTGGTCGCTGTTTAGGTTTAAAACATGCAGTATTATAAACTATGCAAAATGGTAACTTCCATTTCAAGTTTGACGTATCTGATAGGTCTTATTGGGAGGAAAAAGGAGCAGAGTTGGAAAACTTCAACCTGCTTCAGGAGCATCACTTGAGATGTGTTTTAGAGAGATACGGGCTCATACAAGTTCTTCGCATCAGCTCACCTGCAGGACCAGAGCTGCTCGGGGCTCCCGTCGCAGCCGTCGGAGCAATTCTGGTGGTGCGGACCACGCTGCTGGCTGCTGGAGGAGGTTGCGTACGTATGAAATGTGTACGTACCCAGCTCTTCCAGCCCGTAAAGCTGTAACAGCGAATCCGAAATAAATTAATATTGTTGAAATTAATGAACTGAGAAATTGAAGTTCACATCACTACACGAACAAATTTATTAATATCTGTTGTACATAAATTAATGAGAAATATCATTATGGCAAAAATTAAACAACACTAAAATTAAAGACTATCTGAATTATGTTCCTACCAAAGAGTTAACTAGGAAAAAAGCAGTAGTTGTTGGCATCTCAGTCTTTATCTGTTAGGAAAAAAAGGAGATGGCTGGTCAGGTGTAGTAATCTCATGCCTTTTTATGGCACATGGTCTCCAGAGTTGAGAGCAGGTGTAGGGTACTTGGCTTTGGTCTAAGAGAGTCCTTGACGTGCTCAGCCCCGTTGTTATCGTAACGTACAGTTATGGAAATGGAGGTTTTTCTGGGGATGGAGCGGTGGTTGGTGGGGTTCCCGCTGGGGGGATGTCCCCAGGGGATGCCCGACACGACCAGCGGTGACCGTGTTGTTCCTCAGCCGTCAGGAGCCTGGCTCCCACCTCGCTCTCAGCCCCGCGCTGGGAGAGATGCCGCGGGAGTCGGGATGCTCTGGGTGCAAAACCCCGCTCAGAGCCTCCTCTCGCAACGTGAAGCCCTTGTGGAGCGTTGGCCGTGGTCCCTCGCGCAGAGGATGCCGCGGCGCGGCGTGGAGGAGCCCAGGTCTGCGTCCGCCCGCCCCATCCCGGTGCTGAGCATCGCGGTCGCTTTGAACCAGATGTGCCTTACACAAGCGTGCTAATAACGGCTGATTTTTCTTCTCTTTTTCTTTTAGCGATGTCTGGGCTTGTAGTCCCGCCAATGTAAAGTCACTTTTGTTTACCTACCGTAGCACCAAGCTTCAGAGGATGGGCTTAGGGGACACGTTTAGTATATTAAGACATGCTGATGGAAACAGTATCTTCACACAGAATCAGCAACAAATCGAAATGCTACAAAAAAAAAAAAGACTTTGTTTAAAGATTTTATTTAAACTATTAAGAATCTACATGCAAACAACCTACTTCTTCATGAACAATTCCATTTTATTGACTGAATTTTTCTCATATTTTCACATTTCTCAGTCCTGAAGAATAAGGAAAAAGCGACGCCTATTTTGTATAAAGTTTCTGATTACGTCTTGGCTATGTCTAGTACTTGCTATGTGTTGGGAGAAACTTTGTGGATGCACCATTTTGATTATCATGAAACACTGATGAAAAATGCCTCCGAACATTTTTCTGTACTCATAACTAGATTCACAATGGTTGTGTATCTCTATAATGTGAAATATTTTTTTGTGGTGGAAAAAAGGGGGCCAAGGAGGTTATGAGCCATCAAACTGGAAAAAAAAAAAAAAAAAGGAAAAAAAATAAGGATGAATATATGATTAGAAAAACAAAAACCGGGGCGCGGGGGCGGGCGCGGGAGGGTTTATCATTGCTTAACTTCATCTTAATGAAATGGAACTTTGTAACTTATTGTAGTTAGAAATTGTAACTTTGATATTGAATTCTCTTGCCTTCAACAAGCACACTGACAGAGAAAAAAAAATTGCTACTGTCTGTTGGTAAAACAAAAAAAAAAATATACTTCCACTGCTAGAGCTTCCTGTTAAGCAAGTGTGATCTGCAACATTTTTTCAACTTTTGCTAGCACTGTATACTATTGCATTCTTAGGCTACTGTGAAGTCTATGTTTCTTGTACCAGAAAATTGTCCTTTTGACTTCTAGATCCTTCTTCCCTAATGTGTTTTGTATGTGGTTATAAAATTGTAGACTTTTGTGATTTTGCCAAAGTTGTAGCTAAATATTTATACACTTGTCTTGAATTTTTTTCAGATCCACTTAAATATTTAGAAGAGCAAATTTTATTCCTTATGAAGCCTATAAGGAATAAAATAGTCTTATTCATTGCAACACTTTCTTTCACATAAACACTTGCAGTCACTAAGGGAATTTATTTTGTAACATATCAACTATAAATATTGTATTTATCTTTGAAATTTTGTATATTGCTTTTCATCATTTGTTGTTTTGTTGTTTTGTTTTGTTTTTTTTTTTTCTTTTCTTGTATGTATTGGTTTTTGTTATGGCCTGGTATTGTGATGCTGAGAATAGCATTAAGCCAAGAACCGTTGCCTTCGTGTTTTTCTTTTAAAATAAATTAGTGTCCGTACATTTCATTTGTACTTCATAAAGTTGCTATTATTTAGACTTTCCATCTTTTTTTCTCCTTTTTTTTTATTTTTGAGGAAAAGTCAAATTCATTGTTTATTTTTATATTATTTTTAAGTTATCAGAACAAATAATTTTGAAAAAAAAGTTGTTTGTTGTATAGTCAAATCAAAATTGTGCCACATGGCTGTAATGAATACTAGTAGAATATGTGCATGTGATACAGCCACAAAAAAGATGAATCTATTTTGTGGTTGCATTTCTCTCTTTTTTTGTTTTTATTTTTTTTTTATTTTTTATTTTTATTTTTTAAAGATTGTAAAAAGTCATTTTTAGCTGCCACCCATGACTTTGCCACATAGCTGAACTGTGTTTACTGGAAAAATTCAGAGGCCTAAAGTTTAAAATAAATTCACTTCTGATGTTTTAATTAAAATGTTTGCCACATTAACTTCTCTGATGCCTTAAAAGTGAACTTCTTTGAAGAACTTTTGTGCTGTTTTATCACAGGCTTACACCACAATTGTTAATCACTACTTCATTTGGATGATTTCTGGTGTAAAAAAAAAAAAAAAAAAGAAGCACAAACCTGGTGTACAATTATATCACTCCTTTATGTGTCTATTTTCTGCTGCACTCTGCATTCTCCCGAACCCTGCACTGTTTAAAAAAGAGAAAGGTTTCACGTGAAATCAGGACCATCCATAATTTTTAAATGTTTGGGGTTTGTTTATTTAGGTTTATCGGGGTTTTTTTAATGGAACTTTTTGTAACAGACCCGTAGATGACTGTACTTTTTAAACTGGAATGACCTCCGTCACATATCGTGGCTGTCAGTGCCAAATCCATAGAGAAAAACGTGGAGTTTTTGGTTTTGGTTGGTTGTTTTTTGTTTTTTACTTTGCACTAAATATTTTGCCAACGCAGCACTGCAAACCATGTTGCAAACTGCAGCAGAATTAAAGTTTTAACCAAAAAGGAGGGATCTCTCTTTTTTTTTTTTTTTTTTTTTTTTTTTTTTCCTTTCTGGGCAAAAAAATGCACATTTTAGCAAAGCGTTTTTTAAAGGGTTTAAAAGAACGATACAGCGTATCACAGCTGATGAATGCCGCGCGCATTTGCTTTGTGATAGCGAATAAGGCTTAGCTAAGTGGGAAAGCCTGAGAAGTCACTTTGGAACTGAATTGCCTCCGTTATATTTTGTCTAAGTAAGGTTTTGCTCTAAAGAAGAGGTCACGTGTACATGTTAAGAAAGTTTGCAAGTTTCTTCATAAATGCAATCTGTTTGTGTTTTAGATTACTTAGTCAATGCACTCATTGCTTCATTGTCTCCAGACGGAAAGCTTCACTAAATGGTAGATTTTACTGTTAAAGACCCTACAATAAGATTGTTTTATCTGTACATTTTTTCATATATTTAACTGTATAAAAAAATGTTCATTTTACACAATATTTAATTAAAGTATTTCTTGTCTGTGAATTTCATTTTTAGTAATTTTATCTGGTTTGATTATTTAAAAAAAAAAGAAAAAGTGACGGAACACAAAACAAAACAAAAAATGCAGCACCGGGGGTTTCGTTTCTAAATATCGGAATTCCAAGTTACATCTTGGTTGAGAAAAAGCACAGCCCCTGAGGGGCTCGTCGGTGCCCCCGGGGTCATGAGGATGAGGAGGCTGAGGAAGGAGAGCTCTGCTCCGCAGCCCGGCAATGACTCGTCGCTCAGCCTTGGTCAAGTATTTCACCAAAAGTGTGCTCCACACACCCCTTGTTGTAAAGGGAAGGTAACAGTAGAGTAATATTTTTTATTTTTTTTTTCTATTTTAATATCGTATTGTGAAAGCCTGTAAACAGGAAAAGTTATTTTAAACATAGCACAACCCGAATTTTCCATGCAGGGCTTTGACACCGAAGGTCGGCACACTCGTCTTTTAAAAGGCTGATAAGGAAGCAAAAGCTTTTGCTAATTACAATACTGCACACCAATATTTCGTCCTCTGGACTGTAGTATGTGCGACGTACACATAAGGTACTTGGAATAGAACTATACGGAGGTGGGCACGACTCAGCCCCCCACCCCCCGGTCGGAGGGTGGTTTTGTGGGTGAGAGTTCCAACGCCGAGCCTGCAGCACGGGGCTGGGGTCCCCTCCCCGCTGCCCAGCCTGCGCCCGCGTCCCTCTGTGCCCACCGCCACCAGAAAAAAGGGGATTTGGACCGGAATAGGGGTCTGGCTCCCTGGTGAAGCAGGGAGTCCTGTTGCCTGAGTTTTATTCTGTCGTGACCGGAGGGCTGCTGACAACTCCGAGAGGGCACCGAGAAACTCCGACCTCCAAAGGAAATGTACGTACTCGTGTATGTGCGTATGCTGCCAAAGGACGCGCCGCGTGCCCGAGTCTCTCCTTCGTCACCCCGGCTTTCAGCAGTTAAGTGGCGGAGTGTGACGAGAAGGTGCAGCTCGCTGTAGTCACAATTTACAAAGCGGGAAAACCGGGATGTTTAACTGTCTCCTTTCTTCTCCAGTATTTCCATAGTTTTCGTGTTTGATGAAAACAGGTGTTAAAAATATAGAGCACTTTGGATTATTATTATTATGCGTTGAAAACGGTTCCACCGTGAGTATATATCTGTGCATCGTGTTTAAACGGCGGCATAATCAGATGCATCCCACTAAAAAATAAGATGGTTTATAGGGATGAAAGTCTGCACGATGCCTACTGGCGCTTTTCCTTTTAGGTTTATTTCAAAGGTTTGAATAATGAGCATCTAAATGGTTTGTCTAAGTTTCAATGCAAAGAAAATACAAAAGAAGACAACCCAGACATGCTACGAATGACAAGTCCTAGAGCAATCCACCACCTACGACGCATCCCTGCCTGTGAGTTGGTACCTGGCGAGAAAATATGTTGCGTCAGCCTACAGCGAGTTTAGACATAGGAAGATGATAAAAATTCCTTAATCAAAATGAAGGAACAGAGTCTCCAGAAGTATACGCCAATTATTGCAGAGCAGCTTTTTAAAGTCTTTCAAGCTTTTAAAGATTATTCAAAGCACTTGAAATAGGCTTCAATCTAATGCCTCATTTCATTGCATTAAACAGCCTAGTTAATAAAGAATCAATATATTCAAAGGGCAAGGTTATCTTTTGTCTATAAGGGGTGGTGTCATTCTGAACCTTTTATAGTTCAAATGCTGAAAAAGACCTCATGAAATCCATACTCATCAAGTGGGTCAACTAGAGCAATAAAGAGGCCCCTGAAAGAATGGCTGCACTCCTTTAAAACAACTATAAGTCTTATCTCCCCACATAGTGCTCGCCAGGCTCCGCCAGAAAATGTCAATTTCTCATCAAGACAAGAGGCCCAACGATAATTTTTTCCTAGAGAATACACACAATTAGGAGAATGCAGAAAGGCCCCATCAGTGATTTGTAGCTTATTATGTCACCAGCAAGCTGCGATCCGCCGCTAAGCAGATAATAAGGGCTGTTGATAACTAAAGTGTCAATACGCCAAAGAACGATTTTTGAATGTGAGCCCTTGTGCTTTTTTTCCCCTCTTCGTGCAGATCGCGGGGGCCGATAACGGTGCATCTGCCAACCGACACCGCCTGTTGGACCTCACAATTAATGCCGTGAATAAATGGCACAAAA